GCGGCTTGCTCTGGCCGGCTGGACATCATGCGCCTGCTACTGGAGGCCGGCGCCGACCCCAATGTCGCCGAGACGAAGAGGGGAGCGACGCCTCTGATGCAGGCAGTGAGTAAGGGCGAGGAGGCGATGGTGCGGATGCTGCTCTCACACGGCGCCGACGCCAATGCCGCGGACTTGTACGGATGGACCTCCCTGTATCACGCGGCTTGGGTTGGCTGGCTGGACATCATGCGCATGCTACTGGAGGCCGGCGCCGACATCAACGTTGCCAAGACGAACAGTAGAGCGACGCCGCTGATAATGGCGGTGAGTAAGGGCAAGGAGGCGGTGGTGCAGATGCTACTCTCACACGGCGCCGACGCCAATGCCGCGGACTTGTACGGAGAGACCTCCCTGTATCACGCGGCTAGCTCTGGCTGGCTGGACATTATGCGCCTGCTACTGGAGGCCGGCGCCGACTCCAACGTCGCCAATACGGACAGCGGGGCGACGCCGCTGATGATGGCGGTGAGTGAGGGCAAGGAGGCGGTGGCGCCAACGCCGCGAACTCACACGGAGAGACCTCCTTGCACGTCGCGGTCGTCTCTGGCCAGCTGGACATCATGCGCATGCTACTAGAGGCCGGCACAGACCCCAACGTCGCCGTGACGGAAAAATTTGAGAGCTTCACTGCGTTACACTTCTCCTGTGATCAACTTCATACCGAGGTAAAACTACGGGCGTACGTTGTGAATGATTGGGACCGAATTTCAGCAATGCCCTAATGTATTTTCTTATAGATGGTAAAGGTAATCAGTAATAGTAATCGGTTAACAGTTAATAATAGATATGTTAAATAGTTTCACCGCATTACACTACTCCTGCAATCTACTCGGGACCGAGGAAAAATGCGGGCGTGCGTTGTGAACGACGGAGACAATTTTAGCAATGTCCTAATGTATTATCTTATAGATGGTAAAGGTAATAAGTAATGGTAATCGGTTAACAGTTAATAATAGATATGTTAAATAGTTTCATCGCATTACACTACTCTTGCAATCTACTCGGGACCGAGGGAAAATACGGGCGTACGTTGTGAACGACGGAGACAATGTTAGCAATGTTCCAATGTATTTTTGTCTAGATAATAAAGGTAATCAGTAATAGTAATCGGTTAATAGTTAATAATTTAATAATAGTAATAGTTAGTAATCAGCATCAGTAATAAAGGTAGTAGGCTCGGAAAAACTTCTTTAAGAACAAAAACGAACCTAAAATCGGGTTGTTAACGATCCTCGTTTCGTTCGTTTACACAGATGATTACTTGCCTCTTGAAACACGGAGCTGACCCGAACATAGTCGATTGTCACAAGAGGACGCCGCTCGCTAAAATAGGCAGCGAGGCAGGGGTGAGAATGAGTGAAGAAACAGCAGACGCAGAGTCAGTGGTGCAAGCGGCGGCGGAGTCCGCCGGCGTACATCTACAGGTTAACACACGCGACAGCGAGGGCGACACCCCGCTGCACATCTTCTGTAGGATGATGCGCGCATGCAAAGGTGATGTTTACGCGCGAGAGAGGGAAGGGTGCGTGCAGATAGTGCACGCGCTGCTGTTCAACCACGGCGCACACGTCGACGTGGTGAACGCACGGGGAGAGACGCCATACAAACTCTGGCGCCGGATTTACTCGACGCGTTTCCGTGGCAACGTGGAGTCGAGCGACGAGATACATGGCAGAATCAGCGCGCAGTATCATTCGCTGAAGTGCCACTGCGCGCGCGTTATCGTCAGACACAGCGTTGCATACGAGAACAGGCTGCCTCCGAGTCTCATAGAATTTGTTAGGACACACGCTAGACCAACATAGGCGACACTAAGCGTGTTAACCGAGGAAGCGCATGTATGATCGGAGATGCGATAACCCAGAGGATATTATCAATACTGGGTAGATCTATGTTCTAATTGTTGCACGTGTTGGCAGACGTTTCATTGCAATGTAAAATCGAGTATATGTAGTAACACTATTCAGTTTATATAGAAATGTGTAGATTATCGGTATGATGCCTTGGTGAATTGGCGCGATTTAATAACCACGAGTACAAATGTTAAAAGTTTGCAAATCATTTTGCTCTGTAAAAAAATCTAAAGGCTTATATAGTTGCGTTCTGAATATTTAAAAAAATAAAAACCCATTTAACCATGAAATGTATGCAATTCGGAAAGTACTTATTACCACCAGAATCACATATTTGATGTGCTCCTGCTACCACACACCACCAAAAAAATATAATCATTAATGACCCACTGTTCAGACAATCCACTTGTCATAATGTACCCATTAATATGGTATATATATATATATATACTATAGACTGTATATGCAGTCCAACCATAGATTGAAGCGACACTACGCCCTAGACTTATAGGGAATAAGCCTGTTATGTTTGATGCTCACACATGATCATAGTCTACGCAGATATCTTTTTTGAATAACTGGAATGCTTTCACACCATGCGTGCATACCACGCGACACACACGTTGTTCTCGACGCGACATCTGACGGTCATATATCATAACATCTCCCCTATTCAATAAAAATAAACATTACCTGCGTGAGTGCTTCATAGGTATGCACTAGAAGCATGGGCGCAACCACTGGAGGGGTCATTATCGTAAAACATCCATATTTCACAGGTGAAAGTTAAAATAAATCAAAACCCCAGGTGGTCAAGTGCAGTGTGATAACTGTGATTCAGATTCAGATATCTAAATAGAACCCTTGATAATATCATTTAGATTCGACCTACATAGTACATTCAATCTCACGTGCATGGAAAGAGCACGATATTCACCACGCGTTCGCAAGCCAACTGTGTTATAGACACACACACAAAATATAGGCCCATCTTCACACAAGCGACGCGGCGCGGCACTGTTCATCCTTACCTTCTAATCGATGATATCTTCTGGCGCAGTTTCCACTGACACTGCACAGCGCAGGCCTGGTTTCACGGCGACGGCGAAAGTCAAATGCTTTTGCCGACTGACGTGACGGCGAAAAGATAATTGAACCAACCAACGCGATTGTTTTTTATCACGTGTTCTGGAATCGATATTGAAGCAATTGCAAAGGATTTTGTTGTAAAGTGTGACTCAAGGAAGGTCACATTTGGTTTCTAACACTGTTCTCTGTTTTCACGTGTCAGACATTTTTTGCATTATTATTTTCATCATTATTATTTTCCTCTTCATCTTAATCATGCTAACTGTGTCACACAGTTAGCACAGTCTGTGTGTAGTTTACTACTAGCTTAATCTAATTAATAAAACATTTTGGTATTTTATGTATACATGATCCTAGTAATGTCATTCATGACATCACAATTATGCAACACTTCCATCAACACGCTGAAATACGTGATATTGAACCGTGTATACGCGTGATATAACCGTGATACGTGTACATAACCGTGATACGTGATATTCGCTCGCCCGCAGATCACGTTGCTATTGGCTGTTTGTGACCCCCCAACTTTCAACATGTGGTTGCGCCTTTGACTAGAAGTGTATATGTAACTCAAAATCAAACATAACAAAGCCAAGCGAATACTCACGTACGTACTCACTGCCTGCTTGATCTTTGTCCTTACCTGTTAGCTGCGCTGAGGTGAGGTGACCATGACAGAGGAGCGGCGGTTGGCGAGTGACATACGCGCTTGACGTGCTTGTGTGGCACATTGCGCTTGGGGGAGGGGTAGTGTAGCATCTTCTGAGGCGTGTTCAACAGCGCGAACGCTCGCAGCACGAACGCAGGGCCACTTGAACGACACCGAGCTATGCACCGAGCGCTCGCTTTATCCAAGATGGCGGCTTCCTCAGCAGATTTCATCGCGAGATTTTAATGTCTTCGAACAAATCCTGTTAAACGAATTAGCAGACAAAATTTATATGAATTGAATTCAGAAGTGAATGAATGATTGAAAAATAAAATGAAGTTGAAACAGAGTGAAATTGAAGTCAGAAGTGTTAGATTCTCATTCACCAGATTGCCCGTCGCCATCTTGAAAACAACTCGCGAGCTGCGCGAACAGCCTCGGGAGACTGATCGCGGGCGCTCGCAAGCGCTCGACCGCACGGTGTCGTTCAGAAGGCAAGCGCACGCGAGCGTTCGTGCTGTTGAACACGCATCTGAGGCGTGTTCCGGTTGCGAGCGCTCACCTTCTGAACGACACTGCGCGAGCGAGCGCTCGCGAGTGTTTGCGCGCAAATTCAAAACGCTGTTCCCTCAGTGCGCGGGTTGTTTACAAGATGGCGACGGAAAATCTGGCGAATGCGAATCTAACATTTCTGACGTCAATTTGCAATCTATTTCAACTTTATTTCATTTTTCATTTATTCATTTACTTCTAAATTCAATTTGTATCAATTTCGTCTGCTAATTCGTTTACCTGTACTTGTTCGAAGACATTAAAATCTTGCTGAGTAACCCTCCATGGGGGCCGCCATCTTTGATCAAGCGAGCGCACAGCGAGCGCCTGTGTGTCGTTTAGGAGGCGCTGCGTTCGTTCATCGAGCGTTCGCATCGAGCGCTCGCACTCCTGAACACTCCTCTGGTGATGGTTATGATGAATAGATAAGCAGATGATTGTAGGTAAAGTTGACAATATTCATTCTGCGTTGCATTACATTATGGCCGTGGCGGTACTACTACTGACACCTGGTTGTGATATTGTGTACAACTGTGTAGTTTTACGTTTCCCCGAAGGGGGGCATTAAAAGTCTTCTTGTTAACAGCAACCATGCCTTAGCGTTAGGCGTTGTTTGTCTCTGTGAGATAATATTCAAACATTACATTGGCGACGAGGATGGGATCCTGCCTAAAAAGAGTGTCAGTTGAATTCCTAGTCGTCATATCTGACGGTGACACAGTCGTATCCAGCGTAGGCAGAGTGCAACGGCTAAACAGAGTTAGCGTGAACCCTCGACAACACACTGTCACTGTATCCAGTGACACGACAAGATGGCAGCGCCCATACCACATTACTTGCAGTATCCCGCGTTTGACTGCCGTAGTGAAGCAGTCGGGATACGGTGGACTAAATGGATCAATCGACTCAAAAACAATATATTCGTAGCCTACGATATCTCCGACGATACAAGGAGGAAGGCACTGATGTTAACACAAGCAGGGGATGAGGTAAATGATATTTTTGACTCACTTCCTGAAGACGATAAAAATCTAAAAGAGAGTCTCGGAACTGAAGACAAACAGTTTGATCGTGCTGTATCTGCCCTGTCAGATTACTTCAGTCCAAAACAAAACAGGGAATTTCAGCGTTACCTGTTCAGACATTGTCACCAAGCCGGTGATGAATCAATTGAACAATACTATATAGTAGACTGTCCCAGCTAGCTGACACCTGTGGTTTTGCTTCCAAAAAATGAAGAATGAAATCACAACTGATTTCCGGTGCTGGTAATGACAGAGTCATGAAAAGGAGCTAAGTGATCCTAAACTTACGCTGAGCCAGCTAGTGGAATTTGCTAGAACATTGCAGCTGACTGACAATCAACACAAGGAAATGACTTCCAACAACAACGACGGTCAGGCCAGCACAACAGCTCCTGTTAACAGGATACAGCGGAAGAAGCCACAGGCATACAAGTCAAGTTACCGCAAGGCGCAATCAAACTCAGGGCAACCGGCATCTGATAACATTTGTGTGAACTGCGGTAATACATGGCCCCATCAAGGGGGTCAACAGAGCTGTCCTGCACGGAACAAAATTTGTGCTAAGTGTAAAAAGCCCAACCACTTCGCGAGAATGTGCAAGTCATCCAGCCAGCCACAACCAGAGTGCATTCAGAGAAGAAAAGGCATTTTTCAAACACCGATCAGCTCAGGTTAGTCAAGTGACAACGTCGGGTGATGGCAATAGGGACTCAGACGTCGAATACGTATACTCAGTTAACCAACATGACCGTCTACCTCACGCAGTCGTCGGTGTCAATGGCGTACCGATCAACATGATGATTGACACCGGATCATCAGTAGATGTAGTCGACGAATCAACATGGCAGAAGCTACAGCCGTCCCCCACTCTCGAAGACGCACACACAACTCTCATACCATATGGCTCGATCAACTGGGAAGCTTTCACTTCTTGGTAAATTCCATGCTACGATCAGCCAGAATAATGTCAAAGTTCATGGTGAGATGTTCGTAGTGAAAGGGAAATTTGGCTGTCTCCTTAGTTACAACACAGCCAGCTCCCTGAATATTATAGGTATCAATAGTGTCACCGATCAATATCGTGATGACATTATCAGTCAGTATCCAGGACTCAGTGAGGGCGTTGGCAAGCTAAAGAACTTCTCTGTAAAATTTCACATTGATGACTCCGTACAGCCAATAGCCCTACCACACAGGAGAGTGCCCTTCCACTTGAGACAGAAAGTGGAAGACAAAGTGCGTGAACTCGAGGATTTGGATATAATAGAGGAGGTCGAGGGCCCGACCCCTTGGGTATCTCCAATAGTCACACCTCCTAAACCTGGGAACCCGGAGGCCATAAGACTTTGCGTGGACATGCGTGGACCAAATCAAGCAATCAATAGGGAACGCCACATCAACGCCATGTGGGCCTACGGCGTTACAAGAGACTGAATTTTGGAATCTCGTGCGCATCTGAGATTTTCCAGAATGCCATCAGAGATACACTCAAGGGACTGGACGGTGTCTTGAATGTTAGCGATGACATTCTAGTGTACGGTAGAAGCAACGAGGAGCACGACAAACGTCTGCACGCCACACTTCAGAGACTGCACACCTGTGGACTCACTATCAATAAAGACAAGTGTCGATTTGGTCAGTCATCACTGACATACCTTGGCTACACCTTCAGCAGGGAAGGGGTCTCACCTGACCCACAAAAGGTCTCAGACATTCAGAATGCTCCTACCCCGGAGAACGCGACAGAAGTCCGATCTCTTTTGGGCCTCGCTAATTACTGTGCAAGATTCATACTAAGCGTTGCGTCAATTACTGCGCCACTCCGGGAACTCGCCAGAAAAGACACTGAATGGTCATGGACCCAGAGGCACCAAGATGCCCTAGAGGATCTCAAATCAGCTCTCACGTCAGACGCTGTGATGGGCTATTTTGACCCAACAAAACAATCTGAGGTGCTAGTAGATGCCAGCCCGGTAGGTGTTGCTGCAGTTCTGACTCAAAAGTCGGGTGACGAGATGACTGTTATAAGCTATGCCAGTCGAGCGTTGTCTTCAGTTGAACAACGATATTCCCAGACTGAAAGGGAGGCACTAGCAGTCGTGTTTGGCTGCGAAAAAATCCACCTGTACCTTTATGGCAGTCACTTCATCATCCTTACCGATCATCGACCTCTCTTAGGGATTTTCAACAACCCTAGGTCTACACCACCAGCTCGGATCGAACGCTGGGTGTTGCGGCTTCAACAGTATGATATGATGCTACAGTACCGTCCAGGCAAGGATAACCCAGCAGACTTTACAAGCCGACATCCTGGGAACAGTGCATCATGCAGCCGTGCAGAGATAATCGGTGAAGAGTACATTAACTTCCTGGCACAGGCAAGCACTCCTATTGCCTTGACCCTTGATGGGATCAGAGCAGCAACTGCTGGTGATAAGGAAATGCAAGATGTCATAAAGGCCATCAGATCNGACATTCACATCAAGCCCTCCATCAGTCGATTGATGCGAAATGGGCACCTGGGACAAAATCGATACAGCTGAAATCAGATCAAGAGATAGGGCCTGCCAAGCAAGATGAATCTTACTCAGACTCTAAACGGAAGCTGAAGGAATCCAATCTACATGTTGGAGACATGTACTTGTGCAGTAATAGAAAAAATCAACAAGTTCTGACACCTCCTTACAGTCCAAACCTTATGTCTGTGATAATTCGGTTTCGATAATGGAACAGGGCGACAGCGGAGTTGTGATGGACTATCGTATAACGCTCGAAACGTCTGTCCTTCTTGCAAAAATTCGTGGTGCCTGAGAAGCGTAAAGGGTCTAGGGACACCCAATAAAAGAATCGCTTCGTGATCTGGATCTATGACGAAGGTGGACATTTGTGGATTCCAGTTGCTCTCATAATGAATCCAGCTCCGGTGAGAGTCAGCTGTCAGTTATACGATCCTTCAGCGGCAGAGCCATGGCGGCTCCGCATATCTGCCAGCGACTATGCTGTTGATTCGTTTTACATTTGTGGGACATTAATCAGACGTGAAATTTTCGTCAGGGAAACTGTCAGCTTAATTTTATATTGTTTAATTTCACTCCTAACATGGTTTCAATACAGTTGTATAGTTTCTTCGGACATCAGTCATGCCTAACTTTCAGTTTCTTCAACATTATGCAATTCTCGTTATAGGGTGTTAAAACATAAGTTAAAGACTTTGTTTAACTTTCATTGGTGTTATTTTTCCATTAATATTATAGTACATTGGCGCTTGATCAAATTCCATTAGTAAAGCGGGATGAGATTGTGATTTATTCGTGTGTTGATTCATTTACTGTTGTAGTTTTACGTTTCCCGGATTAGGGCGGCCATTAAAAGTCTCTTGCTTTAACAGCAACATTATGCGTTAGGCGTTGTTTGTCTCTGTGAGATATAATTCAACACATTACACTGGCCTTATAGAAAACATAAACATCAGTACAGTACTGACGTGACAGCCGTACGGTCTAGCTGTGTGCTGCAGCCGCATCAGCTGCGGTCGCCTCTGCGGCGGCAGTGTAGCTAGAGGTTTCTCGTCGCTCTCTGCTCATGTCTAGCGAATAGCGACCACCGGGATGGTCTGCTATGCCACCCTTCCTCGAGCGTTTCGCAGGACTGCCACTCTTTTCTTTCGCTGCCACGCTTCTACAACACGAGCCAACGTGCGAGCAATGTTTTAAATGCTGTATAACGCCTATTTTCGCGTTACAATGTATTCGCCCGAATTCAGACTTCGCGATGGTTAATTTTGGCGGTCGCGTGAATTATTAATTATTCCGGTATTATTCGGTTATGAATTTATTTCGTGTGTTTGTATTTTTCGAGTCGGAACGAGTTCGCCAAATTCTCGAAAATTAACCACGCCCCGAAATATACAGCTGTATACAGTACGTAGGCCAGAAAAGGCAATCTTAATACATCCAGCGCATTGTAAAACGGGACGCAATGTTCGGATATTCTATCTAATGCCCAGTCACACATAACGACTGAAAAAATCAGCAATTTTGGGCAATGCGTTGTCGTTCGTGGGTGTGCGTCGCATCGTTTACTCGTTCGTCGAGCGCGCTGGAACCAACGCTATGCATTCGTGTGTCATTCCGCTCGTGGCGGCGTGGTGCGTCACGGCATTTTTGAGCATGTTCAAAAGTTGTGCGCGGAGCCGCGACGCATAAAGGTAACTGCCAGAAGGACGCCAGACACGCGCAGAGCGCCGCTGGATCAAAGGCCAGACCCACGCCGGCAGCACACGCTGGTATTTCGTTGTATGCTTCGTCGGCTGAGGTTGTAGCGAACAGCCTAGGCACACTTAGCAGCACACCTAGCGTGTTGTAACGATGTCCAGCGAACATGTAGCGAATATGGGCGTGCTGAACGAGTCTGTTTAAGCCGCGGGGCCCAGCTTTTCTTCTAGCGTGTTCCTTAGCGTGTACGCCAGGTATAGCCATGGAGTATATAAACGGGTCCCGACCCAGCCTCCTCGATTCATCACTTCTCCTTCCGACCTCATTGGCGTTATGACAGAGATTCCTGCTGATCGTGTCTAGAAGACCACCTCGAGAAGATGGAGGATCCCGACAGCGCTGCCGACTACAATACGAATCGCCGGTTCTTTAAAATCCGCAGAACCATCAATGGAACTGGCAACCCTTTTTTTTACACCAAGTCCATGTCAGATGCGAGAAGAGAGAAAGAGAAAGAAGGTCAACGCGAGGTCGGGCCGACTGGATCGGTAGGCGACGACAGTTTGGCCTGTATGGCACCAGCTACTTGTTGAACTCCGTAACGAAGGACGTAGGCAGGACTTCAAGAACTTCATGCGGCATGCCCCGAGAGTTCGACGAGCTGCTAACCAGGAGTGGGGTCCGCAGGATCACCAAGCTAGAATAAACATACTCAGACAAGCTCGATCCCTGCCTGAAGCCTTGCCTCACTTCTGCGGCATCTTTGCCTCTGCGGACCAAGTATCACTCAATGTCCTATGTGGAGGGGCTCACAACACCAATCCCTGCTCATCAGAAGTGACCTGTGCGTTGGCTGTGCGTTGGCTGTTGCGCTGGCTGCCCTGCGTGAATGCCGCGCGTGCATGCGCGCGATGCATGCGCGGACCATTCGCTTCCGTGCGCTAGCAACACGCTGCTGCCATTCGTGGATTTTTAACATTGCGCTCTGTATACGTCTGCTTGCGCCCTGTTAAAAAAAAAAAAAAAAAAACCACGCGCAGCGCGCTAGCAACACGTGCTGCATTCGTTGTCAAACTCGCTAGCCTTCTCCACAATCCTGACAAAAGCTTGCGACGCACAACGACGCACTGATCTATTTTCCATTTATGATTATTTTCAGTGCGCGGCCGTGCGTCGTGTATTGTGTGACTGGGCATAACAAGATAACCTATCGCAGAATACAAAAGATATGATCAATCATGTATCAGGATAATTAAACACTCCATTCTTGTGATAATGATTAGATTCAATTGTTATTGGATCAACCGAGTAATTGATGTAATTGTGATACTGGCCGTGTGCCATTGTTACACATCGCAGTCGATAAAACGACAATCAGACTTTGTTAAAATACAAAGAGTTGGAAGGCTGTAGATTGCTTTGTCAGAAATGATGTGAATTTTTGAATTTTTTTAATGAACTACTGAAGACGTCGTTATTGGTTATCGCTGCCTTCCTAGCACGAAAGCTTCGGGCTTCTGCCACAGCGAGCGAAGAGTAAGCGGCCACGATGCTTATAATGCGCCATTCCTTTCCTCCGCGTTCCGACAGCTTAGAGTCCCTGTATAATTATAGAAGGAATTGTCTGCGACTTTACTACGCGCTCAGCATCACCGCTTTGGATTCCGCGTTATGTCTATAGCCTTCGCCAGCAACTTTGGATTCGTCCTGCAAAGCGTTTTCGATCCGCTGCTGTTGGTATGAAAAAAGGCTTTCACGGATAGAGCCTGGCCTAGTGAAGATAAATATAACCGCCTGATATATAAATCTGTTAATATCTGTTATTGTCTTCCGACGATTATGTGTGCGTCCACAAACAGCAACGCGCGCAGCACCCGCCACGCCATACACAAAACACACACGCCTCGATCGCGCACGCAGTCACATACTACGCACACACGAAGCCACTCACACGCACACGCCCATCAACACAAAGGCATACGCCCACGCCACGCACGTCCATAGATACGCACACACGCTGCGCGCACATGCATGCATACCACACATTACACGCACGCACACGCGCGCATGTACGCACACACTCACACTTACACGCACAGCACATTCATACGCATACTCACACTCACACTCACAGTCACACGCACACTCCACTCACACCGCACACTCACAGTCACACGCCAACACGTACACTCACACTACACGCACACGCACGGCAAGCAAATTCATACGCACACTCACACTCACACGCCACACTCACATCCACACGCACACTGCATACTCACAGCGCACCACTCACACGCACACTCACACTCACACTCACACTCACACGCACCACGCACACGCACACTCACACTCATACTCACACGCACCACTCACACTCACACTCACACGCACACGCACATTCACACGCCCCACACTCACCCTCACACGCAACACGCACACGCACCATCAATCATCATATCACGCGCACACCTCACACGCACACGCACACTCACCGCACAACGCCACACATTCAATACTCACAGCACACTACACTCACAGCCACACTCATACTCACATCACAATCACACGCACACTCACTACTCACACGCCCCTCACACTTCCACACGCACACTCATACTCACACGCACACGTCCCACGCACACATCACACTCCTACTCACACGCCACACGCACACTCATTACTCACCACGCACACTCACACTCACACGGGCACACTCATACTCACGCGCACACTCACACGGCGACACGCACACTCACACGCACACTCACACTCACACGCACCACGCTAACTTCATACGCACACTTACACTTCCACTCATAATGCACACGCACACTCACACGCACCACTCTACACGCACACTCACACACACACTCACACTCACACTCACACTCACACTCACACTCACACGCACACTCACACTCACAGTCACACTCCACGCACACGCACACTCACACTCACACTCACACGCACACTCACACTCGCACGCACACTCCCACTCACGCTCACATGCACACGCACACGCACAGTCGCACACTCACACTCACACTCACACGCACACTCATGCTCATACTCACACTCACACGCACACTCCCACTCCCACGCACGCTCACATGCACACTCGCACTCGCACTCCCATGCACGCACACTCACACGCACACGCGCGCGCGCGCGAATGCGAGCCGTCGCTAAAAATCGTCGTCGTAAAAAATATATGTTATTATATGTTAATTGTGCGGCTAGGCGTTCAGTAAATTTTCATTTTACTGACTGCATGTTTTTCTGGATCAATAATTATTTTCAAGATGGTGACAAGGGGCCGATTGCTA